TAATGATGCATTGTATTCAGTTGCGTGGCTTGTAAAATTTTTGATTCCTAAAAATTTTTTTAATTAAAAATTTCAACATATTTAAAAGTAGAGACTAGTAGAAAGAACCTTCATGGACTCACTACCCAGCTTTAGGGCCAACATTTTGAAGCAAATCCCAGACATTGTATCATTTTATCCTGAAATATTTCAGTGTGACTTTGAAATCTAAGGATCATTGAAAGCATAACCAGAGTGACATTACCAAACCCAACAATCTAATAATTTCATTGCTTACCAACCAGTGTTTTAATTTCCCTGATTACATCTTTTTTAAAAATATATATATATTTTATTGATATTTTACAGGGAGGAAGGGAGAGGGATAGAGAGAAACATCAATGAGAGAGAAACATGGATCAGCTGCCTCCTGCACACCTCCTACTGGGGATGTGCCCACAACCAAGGTACATGCCCTTGACTGGAATCGAACCTGGGACCTTTCAGTCTGCAGGCCGACGCTCTATCCACTGAGCCAAACCGGTTAGGGCTCCCTGATTACATCTTAAATGATTTGTTAAGCAACAGGTTTTTCTAAATGGTCAAATAAATTGTTTTATAGGATCCTGACGAGGATGACACATTGCATATAGTGATATATTTCAAGTTTCTTTTAAATCTGTTCGTTCCTCCTCTCTTCTTCTCACTCTTTTTTCCCCCCCTTAAAATGTGTTGGTGAGACCACCCTTGGTTCTGTAGTTTCCCACAGGATGGATTGTGCTGTGGACCCAAAATGCTGGTGACCATGAACTTCTGCCCCTAGAGTTTGATCAGATTCAAGGTGGCCTTGGCAAGTTTCTTCCTACGTGCTATTGTATTCTCTGATCTGGAGGCTGGTTGTAGCCAATGATAATCGGAGCCTACATGAAGGGCTGCAAATTGTGGAGTCTGAAATTCTAGCATCCTTCCTCATTGTTAAGCTGTAGTACTCCTCCATAGAGAGAAATTTGTCTCAGTTCTGCCATGTACATTCTTGGACTTTGTTTGCCAGTTAGCAGAATAACAAATTGGATCCCTTGGTGACCGGTAGTTTTTTATATCAGTACGAACTCACATGCATAAATATAATTGAGATGTGTAATCTATTAAAATTTGTAGACTTGAAATTATTCATCTCAATAGCAGTTTATAGACTTGAAAATTTCTTTGTGACAAGATATATAACGTGTTGTAAATAATGAAGGCCATAAGAGAAGGTATATCAGTATAGTAAGATATATGATTTAGTAATGCAGGCACACCCCTTATGTATGTTAAATTCCAAAAATTCTTAGTTCAGAGCACCTCTACTTAAGGTTCAGTATTTTAAGGGACCTTAGGCCTAAAGAAATACCTACGTTTTATTTATTAGATAAGTCCACACAACATAGTAAGTATTTATGTCCTAGCTATTGACAGTAAACATTTGGAAAAGTAATACACATAAATTTAAAGAAAAAAAATTTTTCATTTCATTTTGTAAGTAACCACTACTACGTACAAAGGGGATGTGTGTGCCTGTCGGGTTTTTCTTGAATCTTAGAATCATATTGATTTGAATATGTCACCCTTCTTCCTGTTCTACACGGATTTCACACAGTATTTGCTGCCAGAAACCTAGTTTTGCAGAAAGATGAAATCAGGGAAAGGGATGTAACAAGATATGTTGAAACCATGAGGTGTCCAAGTGTTGAGAATCACTGTCCCTCTCAAAAGTAAAATGTATCCTGTGGAGCCAGAGTTCACTGTGGGGCCAAGGGTACCCCAGCACACTGTTGGGAGCCAGAGCTCTGTCCCACCCTTTTCCCTCTGGATCTGTGGATGTCCTCTCCCCTGCGCCACACATGGGTGTGCAGCTCGTCACCCCACAGCTCTCAGGGATGGGTCACATGTCGGGTTTCCTTTCCATTTGTTCCCAGCCTCAGTGCTTAGAGGATGTTTTTCTTTATCCTTTGATTTCAGCCACATCAGAGCTCAAGTCTGGCTCCAACTCATTGTGATGTGCTGTTTCCCCTACCTGTACTGGAGCCTGTTTAACCAAAAGGGTGGCAGACTCTCAGGGCTAATGTAAAAACAGCTCACCCTGGTCAGAGAAAGTGCTCTGTTGTCAGTGCCCATTGCCCTGCTGATGTGACTTTCCTTCCCTGGCACCCCTCTGCATTCCCAGTGTGGGGCCCGGTTCAGGTGGAGTGTACCCCTGACTCCTGCCATCGGTGTTGGGCTTGGCCCTGTTGCTGGTTAAGACCAAGAAAATGTGGGAAGAAATGACAACGTGCAGATTCCAAGCTGAAGCATCGTGTGTTTCTTTCCCCCTATGGGAATCTTCTGTTAGGTGAGCACGCCCTGGGTAGCTGCGGCCCCGTTAGCCTTGCCCCAGAAGTGGCCCAGAGCCCCCCCAGCTGATCTGTGGCTTAGGAGTGAGGAAGAATGGCATGTTGTTGTACACATTGAACTTTGGGGTTGCTTGTTAGACAGCAACAGCTAACTGGTAGAAACAGAAGAGAGATCCACGAGAGAAAGGTAAGTGATGGAAAGACAGAGAGGGTGTGTTCTTAGGGATGGGTGGATTTTTAAGGAGATGTGAAATGATTCTTCTGTGGAGCAATGTTATAGCCATTGATACTTAAGATAATCCTAAGAGGAAAGCAGTGATGGTTTTATCCCTTTTTATACATGAAGATTATTGAGGCTCAAAGTAGTTGAAGGTGCATTGGATGAGCCTGTTCCAGGCCCCAAATCCCCAACTCCCCTGGGCCGGGCTCTTCCCCAGGCTGTGCTGCCTCTCAGGCAGGCCCAACTCTAGGAGGGCAGCCGACATGGCAACAGAACTGGGCACTTTGTACAGTGGGGCCTTCTGGTGTGTTGGGGAGGGGGCAGTAGTGCAAACCACAGCCGTGCCACCTGTGGTGTGTTCTGTGTCTGGCCAAATGCTGGACCAAGGGCCCCATCTAGTTTTGCTCACACGCTCCCTTCAAAGAGTCTGGCAAGTGTGTCCAGGAAACTCATGGAAGAAAGTGATGTAGGCCGATGTCTTGCTTGGTTGACGTCTGGATTTTGAGATGCTTAAAGCTATCCCAGCCCTGACAGGTGTGGCTCAGTTGGTTAGAGCGTTGTCCCATATACCAAAAGGTTGCGGGTCTGATCCCTGGTCAGGGCACATGCGGAAGGCAACCAATTGGTTCTCTCTCACATTGATGCTTCTCTCTCTGTTTTTCCCTTCTCCTCTCTCTAAAGTCAATAAGCATGTCCTTGGGTGACGATTAAAAAAAGAGAAAAAAGAAAGCTATCCCAGCCTCAGGGATTGAGAACGAGAGACTCAGCAATCAAACCTTCACAAAAGACTGCAGTGGGGCTCCTGGAAGCTTGAGGACCAGGCCACCTGATTTCATCTAGAGGCACCTTATCAAGGGACACATGAGCTGACTGGCATTCCTGCTGACAGCCAGCGCCGTCCGTCAGCATGTTTTCATTACTTCAGAGGGTCTGGCTTGTGAAGTTGATTTACCGAATGAACTGTTTTCAATCCCTGCTGTGACCCCTGCTTCATGACCAGCCGGCCTGATCTGTGGCACTTTTGTGACTTAGGCCTTGGTCCCTATCGACTGCTGCTCTCAAGCCCCCCTTGCTCCCAAACTCTAGCCCCGTGCAGCCCTACACCCACCATGGCAACAGAGCAGCAAGACCCTTCCATCCCAGGGAGGGACCCTCCCCTCCCCACATGGCACCCCAAAAGGTATCCATGTCCCGATTCCTGGAACCTGTGAACCTGAAACCTGGAAGCTGAAGCTCACATGGCAAAACAGGACTTTGCAGATGTGATTAAGGACCTTGAGATGGGGAGATGGCCCTGGATTATCTGGGAGGACCTTAAATTCAGTCACCGTATCTTTATGAGAGGGGGCAGTGTGAAGATGAAGGCAGAGGTTGGAGCGCTGTGGCCACACGCCAGGACACCAGGCGTCCCAGAAGCTGAAGAGGCAGAAAGGACCCTCTCACAGAGCCTCTGGCGTGCGGCCCTGCAACACCTGGATTTCAGTTCAGTGAGATGGATTTTGGACTCTGCCCTCTAAAACTGTTAGAGAATAAGTTTATTTTTAAGCCACCAAGTTTGTGAATACAAATGGGAAAGTCAAAGATTCTAGAAAGAAACGACTGGACCCAAGGCCTGTGGTGAACCCTCAGATACTGCCCACCAGTGTCCTTGTGACTCGAGACGCCTGCGCCTGGAACACACGGGCTCTCTTCCTCCCTCAAGAAGGCGCTCTACTGCCGTGCTGGCAACCGAGGTGGGCCCCACAGTCCCCGCCCCTTCCTGGCACCCAAGCCTTGAAGCTCCCAAGGCTGCATCACACATGTACCCCATAGAGCAAGCATGTCAAACATGCGCCGAAGGAGTTTGACATGCTTGTCATAGAGCCCCAGCTTTTAGCCAAGTTGCCAATGGATGAAGCGGGGCTGGGATTGGTAAGAGACCTAGTGTGCTCCAGGGCCAGATGGCTCCATGGGCTCTATTTGCAACATGCAATGTGGGATGTCTGGCTTTGACCACTAGCTCCAAGGTCATCTCAAATCTGCATACTGGAGTGCAGCCAGGACCCCGCCCTCCAGAGCACACCTGTTCCCCATCCCTGGGAGAGAAGCATGTGTGAAGGACACACTAGCCTTTGGCCCAAGTATTAGATTTTTTAAAACTAAGTACAAATACCATCAGGTGCTCTTTTTACAGCACCAAGAACCTGTGCCTGTTAAAATAAACACATGCCAACCGCTCACCTACGTGGGAAAGCCACACAGGCAGCGCCACTGTTCTGCAGTCAGGTGATGCCCCGGGAAAGGGCACAGCCGCCTGAACCTTTAAAACCCCAGGCGCGACGAGCATTCCCTGTGGGGATTCAGAGCTGTAGCAGCTCTGCATGGGCCTCTCAGCTGTGTTTCTTAATATACTTCCCTTTGTAAATTGTTTTTATTTTCTTAAAGGAACAAAAGGAGAAAATTGATACCAAAGAACATCCATTCCTGGTTCTTGGCAGAATTCCCACCACCTTTGGTAGAAGTTGCATTTCGGGTGAGTGTGTCTAGTGCCTCAAAAGCTGTGTGACTTGTGGCCGTTGGCGGGTAGGCACTAAGCCCAGAGGCCTGGTGGGGTCCCTCTGCGTGACCGGCCAAGCTGGGAAGAACCCTGGCCAGGCGGTGCCTGGAGCAGGGAGGGCAGTGAGCCAGTGTCCCACCAGTAGCCCGAGCGCGTCCTCAGGCTGGTGACCCTTACAGGGCTTGTCTTCTGGTGGGTGGAGGGGTGAGAAGACCCAGGTCCTCTCCTTGGCGCTGGTGCCTGGCTCTGCATGCTGGTGGGGGCTGAGGCGCACCTGGCTGCTCGGTACTGCCCGTGAAGTCAGTTACTCAGCCGTGGGCTCCACCAGCTCCGCGTGGCTGGACGGAGGGAAGATGGGGCACCGTCTCCTCTAATCCAGACCCACATGCCAATGTCCCTCCTCCTCCAGAATGAAGGGTACCAGGCTGATGGGGGTGCTGCTCACCCTGACTGGTGTGCTGCATGTGGTCCTGCCCCTGAGAATAGCAGCTTTCAACATCCAGACTTTCGGGGAGACCAAGATGTCCAATGCCACCCTCTCCAACTACATCGTGCAGGTAGGTCCAGGCCAGCGGTCAGTCCTGAAGGCAATCAGACTGTTAGGCCTCTGCTCTCAGCCCAGTCAGCTGTGGGGATAGGGCCCTTATCACTGCCCTGGCTGACGTCATCAGGCCAGCTGATGTGACAGAACCTGGGAATAGCAGCTTGGCTCCTGCGGGGACTTGGAGTGGGCAGGGCCTAGACACCCCAGTCTCCGTCTAGCCTGTCCCCACTCAGCACCACTGTGGCCCTGTCCATAGATCCTGAGTCGCTATGACATTGCCGTGGTCCAGGAGGTCAGAGACAGCCACCTGACGGCCGTGGGGAAGCTGGTGGACAGACTCAATCAGTGCGTGAGGGGACAGGGCACTGGGAAGCACACGGGACAGTGATCGTCCCTTCGGGGCATGATGCCACTTCGGCCCCAGGGACACCGATGTGGGCGGAGCCCTGCTGTCGGTGGCAGGATGTCCCTGACGGGTACATGTGTTTCCTCAATCTAGGGATGACCCCAACACCTATCACTACATAGTCAGCGAGCCACTGGGTCGCAGCAGCTATAAGGAGCGCTACCTCTTTGTGTTCAGGTAAAACCCAGGTGCCGAGAGATGAGGACGCCTCCTCTAAGGTCACTGGCAGAAGTGGGGGTGGCGGGTGTCTAGAAAGCCCATGGGCCTCTCCTCCAGGTGTGGGGGCGAGAACTGGAGGCCACAGAGCAGGGACCGAGTTGGGCCTCACCATCTGGGCAAAAGGAGCTCTGGCTGGTGGATCTGTGTGATGTCCCATCTTAGACCAGGCCCCTGCCCACAGCAACAGGTTGGTTTGGCAAAGCTGTGCCCCAGCCCCAGGTTAAGCACCCTCTGGCCTGGCCTTCCGCAGGCCGGACCAGGTGTCGGTGCTGGACAGCTACCTGTATGACGATGGCTGCGAGCCCTGTGGAAATGATACCTTCAGCCGAGAGCCAGCTGTTGTCAAGTTCTCCTCCCCATTCACCCGTGAGTGCTGCCGCCAGACCCTTCCTAGGCACCTTGAGGAGCCACAGCACATCATGCCCCCACCATGCACCTCTTTGGGGAGCTTGGTGCTGTCCTCATTCCTAGTGCTTGGTCTTATGTTTAAGTTACTTAGGGAAACGTCCATCCTCCCCCCCCCCCCCTTACTACTTCTCTCCCAGGACTGTTTCATGTGTCCCCCATCCCAGCCCTAAACACATGACAGCCAGGCCAATGCCCCCTCGGACCAGGACTGCCTCCCAACTCCGCTCCCACCCCTTGCGTAGCACGACCATCTTCTCCACAGAGGTCAAGGAGTTTGCCATCGTCCCCCTGCACGCGGCCCCACTGGATGCAGTGGCTGAAATCGACTCTCTATACGAAGTCTACCTGGACGTCCGGCAGAAGTGGGACATGGAGGTGAGGCCCCACATTGGATTGAGCTCTTAAGGGCCCGGTTCTGTCCCTGGGCCAATCAGCTGGTGTCTCCTGGTAGGACATTATGTTGATGGGTGACTTCAACGCTGGCTGCAGCTACGTGACCCCTTCGCATTGGTCATCCATCCGCCTGCGCACAATCCCCACCTTCCAGTGGCTGATTCCTGACACCGCTGACACTACGGTTACGTCCACGCACTGCGCCTACGACAGGTGAGCAGAAGCTGCGCCCCCGTGGGTTCTGCAGGCCCAGGTAGGGAAGGGGCACTCGCACAAGCAGCCTCGCTTTCCATCTCAGCCCAGCTTCAGGAATGGTTTCCAAGACCTTTGAGGAGACATTCACCCTCCTGAGCTTTGGACCACTTACGAAGTGGAATAAAAAGCAGCATTCCTCCACTTTAGGAAAAGCACATGTAGGGTAACACGATGCCGGTCTTCTCCTCTGGGCAGTCTCAGGTAGACCGGTCAGCCAGCGGTGCCAGTTGGGCACACCCAGACCTGAGTCTGGGCTGGTCCTGCCTTCCCTGAGCAGTGCCATCCAGGGGCCAGAGAGGCCAGACGGGAGCTGGCTCCTGCTGGGATCTGAGGTTTAAGTGCACAGAGCTGGACAGTGGGCTGAAGGGGACTTTTTGTGTCTGGCACTGTAGGATCGTGGTCGCCGGAACTCTGCTCCAAAATGCCATTGTTCCCGACTCAGCTGGCACCTTTGACTTCCAAGCTGCATATGGACTGAGCAACCAGACTGTACGTGACCATTCTTTACAGCCTGTAGCTCTCCTGGGGGCCTAGGACGCAGGGGCGGAGTGAGAGCCAGACCCACGGGACTTGTAGCAGGCGCTGCTTTTTCCATTGACTTGTCCGCAGCCTGGGAGCCTCCTCCCGGGCCGATGTGGCAGTGCAGTATCTGGGTGCACACCTGGCCCTCAGCGAGGACTGCCACACGGGCCCCCCTGCTCACTGCATGTTTCTCCACAGGCCCAAGCCATCAGTGACCACTACCCGGTGGAGGTGACGCTGAAGAGAGCCTGACAAGAGCAGGCCCGGGGCCCCGGCTGGACACCTCTAGCTTCTCTAGCTTGCCTGTGGCTGCTCCTGGGGACCTGCACAAAGAACTGAAGAAGACAGCTGATCCTGTTGTCACCTTCAGGTTCTGGGGATGGAGTTTAGGAAACGAGTGCGAGTTCCCTGAGCACAGGGCCAGCGCCCCCTCTCTCCCCTCCCTACCGTCCCCCTGACCACTATCCCAGCTTGAGGAAGGGGCTGGAAAGTAGGCTTTTTCTCACTGTACCTGCATCCATCTTAAGCATGGGGTTGTGGCACCAGAGTAACTTACCCTGTTAGTATGCACAGAGTCCAGCATTTAGATGAAGAAATATCTTTTAATTTAAGTAAATAAAGCTCAAAAGGGGGTGTTCTCATTGGTGGCATCCAGTCGTTCCTTCCCGGCTCCTCCTCCCATGACAGAGGCGCACAGTCCATTGTCACCTTCCCTGGAGCCCTGACAGTGCAGGGAAGATGTGGGGCTCCCACAGCTGCTGGGCTGCACCCTGGCCAACAGGGCCCAGACGTCAGTGTCGCTCCAGGGCCTTGACGAGCAGGTTGTTCAAGCGGCCCACCATGGGTCGGGGGTCATCGACCAGCCCTGCTGCGATCATGGCGTTCTCATAGATCTGAAAGGCAGGGTGGTGACCTTGTTAATGGGATGGGGGCCCTGTCCTAGCTCCAACTCAGGGACATTTTAATGTGGAGAGAAGGAAGGAAGAGAGCTGTTCCTTCTTAAAACAGCGTGTTAGAGGCAACAGCTGTCCAACCTCAAAGGAAGGTGCAGCCCTCTGTTCTCATGCTCTCAGCCAGTCTCCAGGAGACTCACCTGATCGACAAGCAGCTGGGCCAGGTCAGGCTCGCTCTCTCTCAGCTGGCTGAGCTTCTTGATCAGTATGTGCCTGCAACAGAAACCCCCAGAAGTGAGCTCAGGCTGTGCCCCCAGCACAAGGGCCTCTAACTTCTGAGACGTTGGAGTTACTAGAACATTCAAAAAAGTGTAATAGGACAGTCCAGTGTAAAAAAAATAAGGCATACAAAAACTTAGGAAGATGTAAATAATCACTGACAGATAATGAGATTGGTTCTATACCCAAAGAAACACTTGAGTTGTTTTGTTTTTAACACTTGAGTTTTGATATTAGAAAATGCAATAAGTACTAAAACTAATACAAACTTAAACACGGAAGGGAAAGAAAGAATTTAACATATAAAAAGACATATATCAGTGCTTGGAGACCATAATTAAAGATGAAAATTTTTCCTAGATTAATACACACACACACACACACACACACACACACACACACACACATTGTTTTATACTAAGAGTTTTATACCTTAACAATCTAATGTAAAATTCATAAGTAAAAGTAAATATGGAAGAAAAGAGCCAGGAGAGCTGGAGGAGGAAGTCCCAGATGCCAGTAAATAGTTTAATTCTGGAAAACGAAAAGGCAACAACTAAATGCAAAAAATGTCAATAATGTATAAAGAGTCACACACATGGGAATTTCATTTGTACCTGATTAAAGATAGTGTTTCACAAGAGGGGGAAAGACAGGGTAATGGGCCAGCCAACCAATAAAGCTGGATTCCCACCTGATTCTTTAGACCAAATTCCAGGAGGATCAAATGTTAAATGTAAAATATTAGAAGAAAACGGAAAAAACGTTTTCTAATCTCAGAAGGAAAAGCCTTCCAAGCAGAATACAAACCCAGAAGTCAAAAATAAAATAATGATGTAACTCTGACAATATAAAAACTGCAATTCTTGCCCTAGCTGGTTTGGCTCAGTGGATAGAGCATCAGCCTGTGGACGGAAGGGTCCCAGGTTCAGTTCCAGTCAAGGGCACATGACCAGGTTACAGGCTCGATCCCCAGTAGGGGGTGTGCAGGAGGCAGCCAATCAATGATTCTCATCATTGATGTTTCTATCTCTCTCTCCCTTTCTCTCTGAAATCAAAATATTAAAAAACAAAGAAACCTGCAATTCTTTTCTGCACAGGAAAAAAATACCATAAATATAATGTCTGACCTTACTCATAAGAAACATATATTAAAATCATAATTTTTCACTATGAGAATGGTAAAAATTGAGAAGTTTGCTAAAACTGAAGGCATTGGAGAAACAAATTTGTCTTAACTTCTATAGAGGACAATTGGAGTCTATAAAAATTAAACATGGATGGTGCTCTGAGACTTAACACTTCTTTTTTCTCACAGTACTATTTAAAATCAGAATCACTTTTTAACCCTTTGCACTCCGAACCATTCTGGACATTGGCTACCAGCTACTCGACGCTACTTTGCGGCGGAAACGTGCATTTACAGACCCTCGTATTATTTAGTATAATTTTGGAACCAATTAACGTATTATAATGATATTGGACTTATATGAATTGGGTGACATCGAGGAATGTATATTTGCAAAAAAAACTATTTTATTGTTTATAATTTTGTACAGTATGATAAGTTTTGTAACACTCCCCAATATGCATTGCAGGCTGATTAGTGCATGTTTGACAGTAATAAGTGGTTTGACGCCTGCCACCAGGTGTTTTCCTGTTAGAACACACAATGCAGTCCCGTTTTCTTTGTCCCACATCGGGAATATGTAGTTTGTTTAATCCGACACAAAACCCGCTGACATTTCTTGTATATATCTTAGTAATTTTACGATATTTTGATTTAATTTCTTGTGCCATTTCAAGATAAAACTTCAGGGAAACATGCATGTCTCAAAAAGTTGCGTTGAAATAACTCAATTCCCCTTAATCACTAATAAACTGCAATGTCCCCTGAGAGGGGACATCCGAGTGATATGCTAGAATTCCGATGTCCCCTGAGAGGGGACAGCGGAGTGCAAAGGGTTAAAATATATATTTTTTAATTGGTTGGCTGGCCCATTACCCTGTCTTTCCCCCTCTTGTGAAACACTATCTTTAATCAGGTACAAATGAAATTCCCATGTGTGTGACTCTTTATACATTGACAGGAAGGGAGAGGGAGAGAGAGAAACATCAGTGATGAGAGAGAATCATTGATCAGCTGCCTTCTGTATGCCCCCTACTGGGGATCCAGCCTGCCACCTGGGCATGTGCCCTTGACCAGAATCGAACCCAGGACCCTTCAGTCTGCAGGTCGACGCTGCTCTATCTCAGGGGTGGGCAAACTTTGACTCGAGGACCACAATGGGTTCTTAAACTGGACCGGAGGGCCGGAACAAAAGCATGGATGGAGTGTTTGTGTGAACTAATATAAATTCAAAGTAAACATCATTACATAAAAGGGTACGGTCTTTTTTTTTTTTTAGTTTTATTCATTTCAAACTGGCCGGATCTGGCCCGCGGGCCGTTGTTTGCCCACGGCTGCTCTATCCCCTGAGCCAAACCAGTCAGGTCAGAAACACTTTTTAAAAAGCAAGTGGCTCAGTTGGTTGAGCATCATCCCGTGTACCAGGTTCAGTTCTGGGTCAGGGTGCATATAGGAGGCAACCGATTGATGTTTCTCTCTCTAAAACCAATAAAAACATATTTTTTTTTAAAAAGGAGAAAAGGCAAGGTAGGGACCCCTGTATAGCAAGTTACTGCTTGTACAACAGCGGAAGCCACAGATGAATCTGCACACACACAGAATCTTTGAAAAGATAAATGCGAAATGTAATGTGGCTGTATTGGGGGCAAAGGTAGGAGGGAAATTTCACTATGGATTTTGTTTAAATTTATTTAACATTTTTGGTGAACTATTTATGTAATTTCATTGAAAGATTATTGTTGTATATAAAATCAATTAAAAAACACCTGTTTTCAACAGTTAGAAAATGAAATTTCAAAATATCCAATAAATGTGACACATCAAAGAATAACTACAAAAAATGTGTAGGAACTCTACAGAAAACATAAGTTACCAAAAGACATTAAGACCTAGTAAATATATATTGTGTACATGGACGGAAAGGATTGACCATAAAGGTATTAATTCTTGAAACTGATGTATGTGCACAGGAGGACCTAGAGTAGCCAAGGCACCCTTGAAGGAAAATAAAGGAGTAAGCAATCACTCACTGGCTGCAAAGGCTCGGGGAAAAGCTGAGTAATTAAGACAGTGCAGTGCCACTAAAGACAGACCAACAGACCAGACACATGTACAGACACCTGATACTCTATGATGCAGAAGGCAATTTGGATGGCTGGGGTGGGGGACAAAATAAGTTCATGATTTTGGTGATAGATTTCTTAAGAACCAAAAAAGCACCTAACCAAAATTTATGAATTTGATTATATTAAGAACTTATCAAAAGACATCTTAATGCAGGTGAAAAGATAGAGTGGGAATAGAGATTTGCAACTGATAAAGTATGTAATATAATTACAAATCAAATTTTAAAAAAGAACCCAACAGGATCTATATATTAAAAAAGGCTAATATGCTAAGTGACCGTCAGACTTGTAGCTATGACACACACTGACCACCAGGGGGCAGATGCTCAATGCACAGGCATGGAAACATGGAACAGACTGATGAATCTCAGGGGGGATGGGGAAGGGGAGAGGGTGAGAGAGATTACCCAAAGATCTTATTTACATACTAGAGGCCCGGTGCTGTGCACGGGTGGGGTCCCCTCGGCCTGGCCTGCGGAGATCGGGCGGATTCCATGCAAGGGGCCTCCAACATCCCCCAAGGAGTCCCGGATTGCGAGAGGGCGCAGGCCAGGCCGAGGGACCCTATTAATGAATAAAGTCTTATTTTTTTTCACGTCATGAGAAAGCCAAGGCCAAGGCCTTAAGTAAAAGTAGAGACCTGTGGGTTCTCACGCTCTGCTGGGGGGAGCTGGCACCCAGCCTAGCTAAGCATATGGCAGTTTCACACCTGGGTGCACAACTCGGAGAAACTCACGCATGCACACGTGTGTCGGACAGGGACAAGAATGTTCAGAGCAACTGTTCCCAACAGCCCCAAACAGAAACTACCCGAATGTTGGTCAAAAGAGAATACATAATTGTGCTGGGGCAGACTCAGCCCATGAACATTACTCAGCTATGAAAACAAACCATAGCTTCCCTCCACAGGGACCGAGGTCTCTCACACCGAGTGAAGAAAGTAAGACTTCACATCACAGGCAAGACAGTCTGTTAAGGATGCACAGAGAGACCATAAAGCAAAGCAATTACCACAAAAGTCAGGACTATGGTTACCTCAGAGGGACACTTCTAACGGCATCCGAGGGCCAGCAAGGTTGTTGCTTTTTTACTTTACATGGGTACAGTTTAAAGTTAAATTGAATAGTTTAATTACACAGGTACTGGATTTATAAGCTTTATGCATTTTTCCTATGTGTTAGGAATAAGAACAATTTTAAAGGAGTAGCTGGCAGGTCAGATACAAGCTTGCTGTTCCTGGGCATCGAGGGCAAAGGAGCCGGCAGCCTTACCTGGGGTTGATCTCCAGGGTGGGCTGCAAGAGCTGAGCGCGCTCCTCCTGGGTCTTGGCCAGCTGCTGCATGCGCAGGAAGTGCCGGGCGGCCCCCATCTCCAGCACGGTGATCATCGCAGGGTGGGTGTCCAGTCGAAGAGTCACCTGTAAGCAAGGCCAGGGACCAGGGGTGAGGGGGACCCTGGGCTGGCAGTTTTGGCCACGGGTGAAGCTTCCCCAGGTGACCAGGCAGAACATAGGTCTCCAGGGATGAACCCTCAGACCTCCCAACCATCCACTAATGAGAAGGGAGCCTGAACTGCAGCCGCGTACCACGTTCCTAACAGTATCCCACTTGGGGGCTCCCTCTATCCCCCAAAGTTGTTATCTAATGTGTCAATTACTGCCTAACAGCCATCTCGCTTGGTGTCCTCTGCCCCTCTCCCCTCCACAGGGCCACTGCCAAGTCCTATAGCAACTAAGATCACCTACGCCCAGCTGTTCCATTTCCCCAGGCCCAGCCTCTCCCCTAGTCTGTCTGCAGTTCCTTCCCTCAATCCCGTCCTTCCAGAACGCTGGAGCCTCCTTCCTGCAGACCTCACTCCCACCCACACCCTTTCTGTGGCCCCCTCTGGCCTGACTTTATCAAATACATCTTTTCCCAACAAGCGGTCACAAGCCCCTCTCCCTGACCAGGCCTTCCCCTTCGTCCACCCCACAGGCCTCTGGCCTCCTGACTCACACCGGAGACTCTAAGCCTGCTGGGCCCACGGCACCCAGCTCCAAGACGTCCTCGCTATAGGGCCTGGGGATGTACTTTGCCTCCTGCCCTTCACAGGATGGGGGTAATTCGACCTGCCTCATAGTTATCTGAGCTTAAATGAGTCCCTATAGTGAAGAGTGGACACAGTGAATGTGTGACACAGAGAAATCCGGGCTGCATGCCTTGCTTCTCGTGCTCCCTACCAAGAGCCCCTCCTCTTTCGATCTGTGCCCATCCCTCCCCCGCAGAGTCCTGCTGCTGCCTCCCAGAGCCACCTGAGCCCACCCTCTGCTCTTGGCCATCCCCACCTGCACACCGCCTGTCCCCTGGGGCGACTCCTGGGCTATTCCTGAGCCAGTGACCTGCACTGGATACCTGTTCTCTGGTGGCTGGCTTTCTCTTGCAACTCTGAGCTGGACCTGGTTCTGGCTCTCTGAAGTGAGAACCCCCGCTGGGCTGTAAGCTCCCCAAGGGCTGGACTGGAACCCCTTGCGTCCTACGCTACCACAGTTCCTTTGGGGCCTGGACCAGGCTAGCTCTGGGGTGGCCAGCTGGGAACCCCTCTTCTCGGCTTCTACTTGCCCACCAGGCCATTGGCTGTTCACCTTTCCCTTTCTACTTTCTAGTTCCCACCTGTGCTATAAAGTGGAGGAAACAAGTCAGCTGAGCTTGCCTGTCCTGCCCCAGCAACACCCCTGGACACACGTGGCTGCACACACGTAAGCTCAAACGCAGAAGGGCAGTGACACGCTTGGTCTCTCCCACATATCACAGCTCCAGTCGCCATTGGGAGAACTCCCACCAGGCCAGCACTCAGAGCTGGCAGGCTGCCAGCTGTGTGGTCACTGGAGCCATGGGAGCCGAGTGGTGGCTGTCTCAAGAAGACCTCACCTTCACGTTGGTGACACGCGACCCCAGCGCATTTCTCATCCAGGCCATCAGGTCCTCCATCTCCTTTTCTGACAGGCGGTCATCAGCTTGAGGAGAGACGTGAGTGAGCTCAGAGGCCGTTCTCCATAATTCCCATCTCATTCCCATGGGGGCCTGAAATGTTGACATTCCAGCGCCAGGTGTCCAACTGCCCCACCCCACCCTGGTCGTCGGCACAAAGAAGCCACCAGAGATGCTTTCATCTAAAATCCAGCGGATAAAATGGAACCTCAGAAGGACATTTTTGGTTGCCCTGAGGCCCATGTGGTTTCGTTATAGCTTAAAGAAGATATTTTTGGATTCTCTTAGGAAGTCAACTTGGAAGGGGCCCTGGAGAGAACTGGGAGCTAAACGGGAACATTTTCTGTAATCATTGAGGTGTTCCAAAACTGCTGTCTGTGCAGGTTTATGACCCCAGGTAGAAACGAGAACAGAAAATCCCTAGAAACTCACATTGCAGGACAGAAGGCTCTGTAGCAGAGTGTCAGCCCCTGGGCCATCCCAGCCTCACCTGCACCCCAGGCCACCACCCACCTCTGCCTAGAGAGAAAGGTAGAACCAACCTGGAGATTTGTCTTCAAACTTCTCCTCCTTGTAGTGATCAACAACGATGTCCGTTTCCACGGAGATCAGCTTCTTCTTGTCAAATTCACGAAGGTGAAGCAAGGTCAGCTCATCAAACTGCTCATAGCAGAAGAGAACCTGTGAGGGCCCAAGAACATCTCCATCAGGCTTGGCGAGGACTCCGCCCACGACAGAGAGGGCCATGGGAGTAAGGGCTGGGCCCCCAGTCCTGGAACAGCCACATGGGATGCTGCTGGGGCGTCCTGGGCCTTTGCAGATGAGGCGGATTGCCAGAGGGTGGCAAGGGAGGCTATGTCTTAGTAGTAGAAACAGTGATTCTGCTTACAGAGAAATCCCCGTGTCACCTCCTACAGGGACACACAAACTAGATGGCAGACTTCAGCCTGGGCCTCTGTGCCCCCGGACGTGTGGCTTTCCCGGGTCATGGGCACATTCAGCCATTTTCCACTAAGCAGAGACACCCCCCACCCCGCTGCCTTGGGTGCTCAGACTCCACCCTGTCCCCTGATCTGGCCCAGCAGCCTGTAGGGATGCAGCCTGCCCTGTTGCTCACCCACCTCCATGTTTTTCTGCTTCATGGCCTCATAGTAGGGTGAGTGCTCAGCCAGGTGCCGGTTGGGGGTGCACAGGTAGTAGATGTTGCGGGTGCCGGCCTGCATGCGGCTGGCGTAGTCCGCGAGGCTGGTCAGCTGCCCAGCGGGCAGTGCCGAGGACTCATACCGCAACAGCTTTGCAATATCCTCCTGAAAACAAAGGGCCGGTCACTGCTCATTCCCGATCCTCACTCAGAAAGCCTCCAGCACCTGGGCACCGACATGGGAAGCCTCTGGCTAAAGGGAGGAGAAGTCTGCTGGCTGCACCCCCGGCTGGTGGGCCCCCTGTGTTCTGCAGCTGGGGCAGCTCCCACAGAAGCCTGGCCCGGGGATGGCTGCTAGTCAGGTCTGGCAGTCCCCACATCAAAGGTTCAGGGGACCTCAGAGAGCACCTTCCACCTCAGGGGCACAGGGCCTCACAGAGAGGGGCTTTCGGGCAAGCTGTGTGCACCCCAGGAGTGGCCAGACCGTCCCCATGGCAGAGACTGCTCCTGGACCCAGCGTCCTCCCTTCGTCCCCAGTCACGGCGGGCATGTGGACATCGGTATAAAGTCCACATTTCTCCGCCTTCCTCCAACCAGGTGACTAGTCCTTCTCCTTCCTATTGGCTGAAATGCAATGTGACTGCTGGAGACGTCTCGATTCCTGGTGGGAGCTGCCTGGTAAGGACAGAGGAGCAGCAACAAGCTGGGGGCCTGGATCCCTGATGCCATCAGCCTGGACGTGACCTGAGACATAAACTCTGCCTTCTCTACACCAGACACACTGACAAGCACAGCAAAGACAAGTACTGGGGACAGGACACTGTGAAGAGCTAGGGAGGGCGCACAGAGGGCTGGGCCCAGATGGAAGACGTGATGGAGAGGGAAGGTGGACAGAAAGCAGAAAAAAAGATGTCAAAACAAGGATGTGGAAACCCACCTGGGAGTCATGCTCTAATTCAGACGCTAAGCCTGTGCTTAGGTACACATTAGGGTCCCATTAACAAACACGAATACACAGATGATATTTCTAAGGTCGAGCCCTCAGAAAAGCCACTGGCATGCAGTGACCACCCAGCTGCTGTTATCCTGGCCCAGGCAGGAGCCGACCACCCGAAGTGAGGAGGGCTCAGGGAGGAAGCAGAGTGGGACCTCAGGCTGCCCAGCGGCACTCCAGCCCCACCCTCCCCCAGGGAATGAAGAACAACCCCCTTGGGAGCCCTCCATCCTTGCTACTGTTCTAGAACAAAAGATGAGACCCCGACACTGGGACTGACTGCTTACTGGGGATGAAAATGTTCTGGAATGATATATCAGTGATGTTTACACAACCTTGTGAATGTACCAAGTGTAACTAAATTATCCACTTTAATAGGGTGAATTTTACTATGTGAATTATATCACACTGAAAATTGCCAGCCCTGTCTGGCTGGTGTGGCTCAGTGATTGAGCATCGACTCATGAGCCAGAAGGTCATAGTTCGATTCCCAGTCAAGGCACATGCCTGGTTGCAGGCTCCATTCCCAGTAGGGGGCATGCAGGAGGCAGCCAATTGATGATTCTCTCTCATCATTGATGTTTCTTATCTTTATCTCCCTTTCTCTTCCTCTCTGTGAAATTTAAAATAAAAATAAAAAATGGTTTAAAAATGGCCAGTCCTGGCTGGTGTGACTCCGTTGGTTGGAGCATCGTCCCATACACCAAAAGGTGGTGGGGTTTGATCCAGGCACATACCCAGGCTTCGGGCTTAATCCCTGGTCGGGGCGTGTACAGGAGGCAACTGATCAATGTTTCTCTCTCATATTGATGTTTCTCTCTCTCTCTCCCTCTCCTTTCCTCTCTCTCAAATCAATAAAAACATATCCTCAGGTGAAGATTTAAAAAAAAAAGGCCAAAATATGTTTATTGAAGAATCATATCATATATAAGTAATGCTGCACGATGAATTGAGCTGAGGCCCCAGGAGCACCATGTTAAAGTTCCACCTGATGAACATGCCCTGACGACACAATGTCCCTGCCTCCCCCGCCTGGTGAACCAGTACCTGGCCCTGGCCCTGCCTCTGTGATCTCCTGAGCCCCCTGAATACACACCTACTTCCTTCCGGCCTCAGGTGAGAGGACTGAGGGAGATGAGCCTAGTCCCACA